TCATTTTCCTGTAATTCGTTTCCTGTGGAATAAAGAGCGACTGGAGACGGACAATTAGGATGAAAAAGGAAAATGCTTCTATTTTGTGTAGACATTTTGGATGAGAGCAAATCTCACAGAAGCATAAAATCTTAACCGCTTTTCATTTCTGACCTTGCGTGTCATTTGTTGTAGTATTGAACTTGTGTGCCGTTCATCACATTATTTCAATCCCACAAAGCGTATTGCTTCTTTAAAAAGAAGAAAAAAGTTTATGGGAAAAGAAAACAATTGAGAAATATCCAATTTTCCTGTAAATTTACCAGAAATCATTCTTCACTGGTTTGTCAGATAAGCTTTTTGTGCAATTTTCTGCCAGCCTTTTATAAATTATGACATTTGCATTATTTCTCCTTGACTTAAGTGTTGAAAACATATTTCTTAAAGTGTTGGGAGGATTACAGATTTAAACGAGGGCTGTCAGGACTGACAAGTGTCTTTCTTCTGATGGATTGTCTTACAAACAAAGCAGAAAGATTTGCGTATTATGGAAAAATACCCTCCTGACCTCTGATATTCAGACTTACAGTAACCAACATCTGCTACAAAATCAAAATTTTTTTCTTTTTTCTTTTGTTTTATGGTGATGTTTTGTTCTTTACACCTCTTTTTAAAATCAAATACGTTACAAATGCTAACAAATGACCACTGAGCCAAGAGTATTAGAATCAGGATTTAAATACAATGGTGCAAGTACCTACATTCGATATAATTGTAAATTTTTTTTTTTTTTTTTTTTTTTTGGCGCTGTGGGAGACGGCTGCCTCTCCAGTAGCTCTTCAGTTTTAGCTCTTTTTTAAACTTTTTATGTTGCCTCTTCAACACAGAAGAGGCTGTGTGTGTTTTTTATTTATCCTATGGATAATTCCAAACTTCTCACTTATTCGAGAGAGGAACTGCTGGACTTTAGAACAATGGGACAAGCCGGCATAAGACACAACATTCCGGTGGAGTTGAGGAGGAGACCGAGGGGCTGCAAGGCTGGGGCTAAGCTAAAGGCTAAGCTAGCGGACAACAGGAGGCGCTACAAGCCATCGATTCCCACTGTAATCATGGGGAATGTGAACTCGCTGCCGAACAAGATGGATGAGCTGTCTGCACTGAACAACCAGCGGATCTACAGAGAGAGCAGCTTGTTCATCTTTACAGAGACATGGCTGAACCACCTCGTGCCGGACGCTAACGTGGACCTGCCAGGATTCACCGCTGTGAGGGCTGATAGGGACACGAAAGCGAGTGGTAAAAGAAAAGGTGGGGGACTCATCATGTATGTGAACAATAAATGGTGTAACCCAGGACATATCACTGTAAAGACTGTTTGGTGTTGTCGGGACCTCGAGCTACTAGTCGTTAGCTTGCGGCCACTACCTGCCGAGGGAGTTCAGTCACGTGATCTCCATCTGCGTTTACATCCCACCGAGAGCGGACGCTACCACTGCCTGTGAAAAAATCCACTCTGTCACAGCAAGGCTACAGACAAAACATCCTGACGCTTTATTATAATCTCTGGGGACTTCAACCATGTGACCTTGGACTCTACTTTGGCCACTTTCCACCAAGCTGTTGACTGCCCCACCAGGAATAACAGGACAATCGACCTCCTGTATGCCAATGTGAGGGATGCATACAGAGCAACACCCCTACCCCACTAGGGAAGTCAGATCACAACATCGTTCACCTACAGCCACTGTACACCCCCTGGTCCAAAAGCAGCCTACAACAGCTCGCTCCATCAGGAGGGTGGTCCCCTGAGATGGAGAGTGCTCTGAGAGACTGTTATAACACCACGGACTGGGATGCACTGTTCAGCCCGCATGGCCAGGACATAGAGGGGCTGACACACTGCCTGACGGACTATCTGAACTTCTGCGCAGATGTGGTATCCCCTGCTAAGACTGTCCGCTGTTACCCTAATAACAAGCCTTGGGTAACGCGGGAAGTCAAAACTGTCCTCAACAAGAAGAAGGTTGCCTTCAGGAGAGGAGACAGGGAGGCCATGAAGGCAGCACAGCAGGAGGTGAAGCAGTGTGTGAGGGAAGCAAAAGACAGCTACAGGAGAAAGGTGGAGCAGAAGCTGAGAGAGAACAACATGAGGGAGGTCTGGGAAGGTGTGAGGACCATCACTGGCCTCAACACAAAGACCAGAGTCGTTGAGGGAACAATGGAGAGGGCAAACCAACTGAACAACTTCTTCAACAGGTTCAACCAGTCTGTGCCCCCCCAACCCCCTCTCTCACTGCAGCCACCTCTGCTCCTTACCACACACCTCCCCACAGACAACAAAACACTGACAACCCCCCCACACACCTCAGCACAACCTCCACCCCACATCACCACAGACCAGGTCAGAGAACAGCTGAGGAAGCTCAAGCCCAGGAAAGCAGCAGGGCCGGACCAGGTGTGTCCAAGGCTGCTGAAGACCTGCGCTGCTGAACTGGGAGAGCCACTACAGCGGATCTTCAACCTCAGCCTGCAGCTAAGGGAAGTGCCCACCCTCTGGAAGACATCCTGCATCGTCCCAGTGCCCAAGAAGAACAGGCCCAGCGAGCTGAATGACTTTCGGCCCGTGGCACTCACTTCACACCTGATGAAGACGTTGGAGCGGCTCTTCCTCTGCCTCCTCAGACCTCAGGTGGAACATGCTCAGGACCTCCTGCAATTCGCCTACCAGGCAGATGTTGGTGTGGAGGATGCCCATCCTCTACCTGCTGCACCGGGCCCACTCCCACCTGGATAAGGGCAGTGGCACAGTGAGGATCCTTTTCTTGGACTTCTCCAGTGCCTTTAATACAATCCAGCCCCTTCTGCTCCAGGACAAACTAAACAGCATGGGAGTGGACCAGCACCTGGTCACCTGGATCCATAGTTACCTCACCAACAGGCCGCAGTATGTCAGGCTAAAGGACACCGTGTCTGACACTGTGGTCAGCAGCACAGGAGCCCCTCAGGGCACAGTGCTGGCCCCTCTTCTCTTCACCCTGTACTCCTCTGACTTCCCACTACAACTCGGAGCTGTGTCACATACAGAAGTATGCTGATGACACAGCCATAGTCGGATGTATCAGGGACGACGGAGAGGAGGAATATCGCTGTCTGGTGAGGGACTTTGCTCTCTGGTGCCACACAAACCACCTGGAACTCAACACCTCTAAGACGAAGGAGCTGGTTATAGACTTTGGGAGGTCCAGACCAAAGCCGAGACCAGTCGTACTAGAGGGAACGGAGGTTGAGGTCGTGGGCTCCTACAAGTACCTCGGGCTGTGGCTGGACAGTAAACTGGATTGGTCAAAACACACCAGCCACCTGTACGGGAAGGTGCAGAGCAGGATGTACTTCCTGAGGAGACTGCGGTCCTTCAACATCTGCAGCAAACTGCTGTGGATGTTCTACCAGTCAGTGATCGCCAGTGTCCTCTTCTACACCGTGGTGTGCTGGGGAGGCAGCACATCCAAGAAGGACACGTCCAGACTGGACAAACTGATCAGGCGTGCCGGCTCTGTGGTCGGCATGAAGCTGGACTCTCTGGTGACGGTGGCAGAGGCGAGGACACTGAACAAACTGCTGGACATCATGGACGATAGCAGCCACCCTCTACACGCCGTCATCAGCAGCCAGAGGAGCCTGTTCAGTGACAGACTGCTGCTTCCCAAGTGCCGGACCAATAGATTCAAGAACTCCTTTGTCCCCCACGCCTTCAGACTGTACAACTCCTCACTGGGGGGTCGGAGGTGACACAGGACAGAGGGAAGAAGGAGTAGTTTTTCTACAAATGTGAACTCCATATTTATCAGGCCAAACCATACAGTGCAATACCATATCACTGGTCAATCTATCGACCAAATTGCTATAATTTCCTTTTGTGTTGTATTTATATTCTTTGTTTTGTATTTAATTTGTATTTTTTTGTATTTTGTGTATGCTTACTGTGTGCCACATTTTTTGCCTGTGAGCTGCTGGTAACTATAATTTCCTGAGGGAGTCTTCCCAAGGGATCAATAAAGTCAAGTCTAAGTCTAAGTCTAAGCCTTTTTCTTGATTGGTGATATTCCTTCACACAAACGTGAATATTCAGACTGAATCAGGGAGCATAATGTCACTGTTCACTGGTTCTCATTCTAGTGATTAAGTATCACTAGAAGTGTGTTTCTTCATCCCGACACACGTGAATTGGGTTTAATGTGATTTTTTTGTTCACTCTTTGCAGTTATAACAGCTTCAGTCGTTATGGGAAAGATTTCCAAAAGGTTTAAATGTGCGTTTGTGAGCTCAAACAGCTTTCTTCAGTCAGAGGCTTTTTCAGTTTCGCTGCAGAACTGACTGCTACTGGAGATCCTTCATACAACATCACCATCACAATTGCAACGTCAAGAAACTTTTATGAAGGGATAAAAAAAAAAAATCTGAAAATATTTAGTTTTTTTTATTTAATAAAATTTTGTGACTGTACACTTTAAAATGTCTACATACATTTTTGACTAGTTCCATCATGTAAAGCACTTTTTAAATCAAACTTAGAAAAAAAACTTTCTTATACCCTCCTATATGAAGACTTCACACCTTTTTAATACTGTATTTGTAAATTTGTTGTATGTCAGCACTTTTGTTCTATTTCAATTAATTATTAAAAAAGAAAAGTTGACAATCTATGTTTTGTTTTCATTACTTTAAATGTGAATGGAAAATGAACGAAATGTAAAATTTATTGTCCTTTGAAAATTTATTGTATTTTAGAACATATATATTTTTAGGACCTATATATATTTCTAGTTGTATGAAGTGTTTTTAATGTATTTCATAGCTGAAATCAAACTTATTTGTGATTCTTTATTGTGTTTGGTTGATAAACGGGCAGAGCTCTGTGGGCGGGATTAAAACTCCTACACCAATCAGAGTTCTCGCCTTCCTGTAAGCTGCTCTGTGATTGGTCAAAGTCTGACAGCGTATCATGCCGCTGTCGGTTAGCTGTGCTATGGCTAGCCAGCAGCTAATGTTAATACTGGGAACTGCAGGCTGTTTTTCGTCTCAAACCTCATAATTATCTTGTGGAAAATATCACTACGTGGTCTTTGCCGTTGGTCCTTATCCTCCCGATAGTAAGTTGATCTTTCATTGCTCAAAACCTTCTGTGTTTTAGCTATTAGTGTGAGAAGTTAGCGGATTGAGGCGCTGCCTGCCTCCGTTATTTCAGCCACAGAGCTAGCAAAGGTTCAGTCTTTTGAGACCACTTCATCTGAAATAACCAACCTGGCTTGGTGTCACCGGGTTGTTTCATTTGTAATAAATGAAAGCAGGCTGACTCCCATCAGGGCACTCTGTTGCTCTGTTTTGCTCTGGTCTCTCAGCAGCTGTTGCTATTTTTGCTCAGAAACGTTAGATACAAACCAGGTTCACACACCTTTTAGATTCATCTTTCTAGATTGATTTTAAAAATTTAGAACATGAGAAACGTTTTGTGATTTAGCTTTCGGTTGTGATCTAAATCCTCTAAACACTAGCAGCATGGTAATAATGAACAGTCCCGATTAGCTTATATTACCTGTACAGGTGTATTTCAATATATTATCAGTGAAAAGCTAATTTATTAAACTAATATATTGACTTATTTCACGCTGTATTTTGTTATTTTGCCCATTATAGTTTAAATAGAATTGCAACATTATATTAAACAAATAAACCAACATTTTTAATCATTTAACACTTAAGAAGTCATTTATGCGGTTACTGCATCAATGCGGCGTGGCATGGAGGATCTTTGGCAGTGTGGACAGGCACCAAAACCTACTGGAGAATAAAACCAGTATTTCCATGAAGCTTGCCAGCAGATTGAAACTCAAAAGTGCACTACTGTTTCTCGTTAGACTCCTGCTCTAACTTTGAGCTTGAAGTTCTGCAACCTTAATTTCCAAATGAAATGAAAAATGTTGAGGCCTTCAGACCATCCAGTTTTTTTTCTCCTTAACCCGTTTAGTGAAGTTTAAACAGTCTGTTTTAGTTCTCTTTAACTAATTAGTCAAGTGGTAATTGTAATTAAGTAATTACTCAATTCCACTTTTGAAAAAATTTGCTACTAGGAGTATTTTTAGTTTTTTTAGTACTATTTAGTTTATTTTTTAGTTTTTTTAATACTATTTACTCGTACTTCAGTAATTTCTTGGCTGCTTTTTACTTGAGTAAAATATGTTGAAGTTGTGCTACTCTAGCACATGTTTGGGTTCTCTCCTGTCCTCTAGTCTGTAATGTGACTGAAGTGTTTCTTGTTTTCCAGGTGAGTCGTCCCACATGGCCGAGATGATGACAGCGAAGCCTCCTCCGTTTCCGTGGAGATGACCTGCCACCCTTTCTGGAATGGTCAGAATGGGGCCAGATGTGCCCCTTCTTAACGAGTACAAGCAAGAGTTCTTCTGGAAGCGCTTCCCCCAAACCGTGTTGGGGGGTCCCCGCTTCAAGCTAGGCTACTGTGCCCCTCCTTATGTATACGTCAACCAAGCGGTTTTGTTCCTGACGCCATGGCTGTTCGGCGGCATCGGCACGCTTCTCTGCCAGCTGCAGCTGCTCCAGGAGCTTTATGCCGCCGTTCTCTCTGGCATTCTCATGTTTGCAGCTGCGGCAGGTGTTCAGGCGCTGGCGCTGCACGCTGCACGGAGGAGCGGCACAGTAGTGGAGAGACTAGACGCACCCAACAACCTGGTTGATGAGGAGGAGGTGGAGTTCACCCAATGCATCAGCCCGGAGACGGTCCGATTCATCGCTCCGGGGAAGCGGTTCGGCCTGAATGTGGTTCTGCACACGGTCCTAGCTGGAGTTCTGTGCGGCTTGGGGACGTGGTACGTGTTCCTGGGCCGACTGACGGCTCTGTACGGCAGCACCGGCGCCTCCCTGGTCGTGTTTGTTCTCAGCTGGGTGACTCTGTGCGTAGCCGAGTACTCCCTCATTGTAAATACGGCCGCAGAGACGGCGACTTTCCAAGCACAGGACACTTACGAGATCACGCCGCTCACCCGGCCGCTCTACGTTTTTATCTTCATCGCCGTGGATTTGGCTGACAGGTGAGCAACAACGCACCGTCTTCTGTTTTCAGGAAACGCCAAACCTCCAACTCCAATTTTTATTCAATTAATCAATTAATCAGGCGATTAATTGAATTTAGAAAATATATTAATTCAGATTGATCAATTATTCTGATTACTTCATTATTCTAAAAATTAAATGGGGGGGAAAAATGATCAGATTAATTTGTTAATTATTCTGATCAATTAACATCAATTCATCAGAATAATCAACTAAATTATTATTCTGATGAATAATAGATTAATCAGACAAAATGTATTTTTTATCCAGTTCATAAATTATTCCAACAATTTTTCAGATGAAGAAATGATCAGCTTAATTGATTATTCTGACAATTAATTGGGAAAAATTATCAGATCAATCAGTTAATCAAAATAATCGACTTATCGATTATTCTGATGATTGATCAATTAAATTAATAAAAAAAATTGGCATATATAAATTTGGAGTAGGGTCTTAGCGCTGTCAATCATGAATCATCCTTGTGTATGTGTTGTTCACCCCCCACCCCACACAGATTTTCTTCGCTACGCTGCAACGTCTTCTTCATAGCAGAGCCCATTATGAATGCTAATGCTATTTAGCATAGCCACCGATGATGGTGGAAAAATGTTTTTTCCGGAACTTTAAGTTGTTTCTGTGCCATTAGGACATGTAGCAGCACTTTCACGAAATTGATTGACAGCACTAAGACCCTCCTCCTGGCTCTGATTAGTTGTTTTCTTCAACCAGCAATAGTAGCTCAGGGATGAGTTGGTTCACTATACTGTTAAAACATGGTAAGAGTTTTTACAAAATCTTGAAAACTTTTTTTTAATATAAAAGTTAAAGACATGTTTTCTTTGTCTTAATGCAAAATCTATATTTATTTTGTGCAGTTTTAACTTAATTACTTTTTTCAGCAAGTGTCCTATTTTTTGAGACTGTTAACAACTGATCATTTAAGTTACTTCAATAATCGATCAATCTGATTAATCGCTTCAGTCACAGTGATGCTAACATTTTGTGCAGGTTTTCTCACGCTGTTCCTGAGCTCCAGCTGGCCAGCCAGACGCTGCATGTGGTTTTTGTCTTCCTGCCGCTGCTCTGGGCGCTGGGGGTTCTGCCGCCGCTCGACGCCTTGCTCCTCTGGGGAATGGAGCAGGTTCTGGTGTTTGGCCTGGGAGGCTCACCCATGTCCAGCAACATCAGGTAAATCCTGATCAATAATCCTCCACAATGACCTACAACCGTTTGTCACATAGAGAACACGTGTTGTTATTCTTTGCTATAACTTATTATGTCAGCTAATCTATTATCACATTGTCGTTAACTTTTATAAAACCAATCAGTTTGTTATTTAATTGGACTGCAATTGGTGGTTGTGCAGGAGGCTCCACTTCTGTTTTTCACACCTGGTAGATCAATTATCTCCACTAAGTATTATCTGTAAAAACTTGTATCAAAGCATAACATTCCTTCTTTTAATTTTTTGTTATAAAATTACTACTTCATTATCAGAATATTGTGACTTTATCCTTATAATGTTACGACTTTATTCTGGTAATTAAAAAACTAATAAAATCGTGATACTTCCGCCAAAGAGAATTGAAAGTCCTAATTAATGGAAGCTGTAATACAAACAAGATGGTGTTGAACTATTGAAACTATTGAAAAAACACAAAATCTTGTTAATTATCTGTGGTTTAGGTTTTAATGCTAATATCTTAGCACATTTGAAATAAGATAAAACTTTTCAGCAAGTTGTACTAGCTTGTTTTAAGTAAATAATTTGTTAATGTTAATAAAAAAGTACTAGTTCCTCTGGCAGATTCTTTCACTTACAAGACATTTTTGTGTTTTTGCAGTGTTTAAAATGATAAAATCTGTTTATTGCCATTTAAAGGCAACAGTTTAATTTGTATTTTACTGAACTCATTTAGTCAGTTTTGTTTATTTGTCCCAGTGAACTGATGTGAGAGCCGGTCTGTCTCTGTCTCGTGTCCCTCAGGTTGCTCTTTATGTGCGCCGTGTCCTTTGGCGTCGCTGTTTGCAATTACTTCATCCCGTCATCGTTGGGCGTTGTCCTCTTCTCCACCTCTGCCGGGTTTCTGCTGAGCCTGGACCTGAGCCAGGTTGCCACGCTCTGCAGGCGCCAGAGAACCTCCTTTAGGGACCACAGAGTTCACAGCGGGGGGTCGCCATCTTTCCCTCTCACTTCCTTCGGTTGGAGCCTCGGCTGCCGGGAGCTGCTCCTGTTTTCCAGCCTGCTGGCGGCGGCCACGGCAGAGGCTGGACTGTTGCATCACTTCATTGGCTCAGCTCAGTCCCAGGTCTTGGTTACAGGACCTCGGGGTCCAGTTAGCTACCTCCTCATCATACTTTTCTCTCTCTGCTGGGCTCTAAGAGAGATCCAGGGAGCTTATGTAGTTGCAGGGATGTTCCTGAATCCCCTGTACCCCAAAGGAATGTCCAACGTTCAGAGCTTCAAGCAAAAGAGCAAAGGGTTGCACATAGCAGCTGCAATCCGAAGAGTCCTACTTTATCTTGGTGAGCGTCTGGCTGCATGCTTTTCATTTTCTTATGCTTAACATTTACATGGAGATGCGACTGACCAGAACCTCTGTGTCCCACTTCAGTTTCTCCGTTTGCAATGGTTGCGTTTCTGTCTATGGACGAATCTCTGCAGTCGCTCCACAGTGTCACCGTCAGCATGGGATTGACGCGAGCCTTTAGAGCGGTACGTTCACAGCTGAAAAGGGAGATTTATACATCCATGCTGCTTAAAAAAACAACCAAAGTGATTTAAAAAAAGTATTTTTCTGGAAATAAATTGTTTTTTTGCACCTGGAAAATTTGTTGTTTCAAAACTTTCCGAGTGTAACGTCGCAAACACGCAGACACTGCCCTGTTACCTAGAAACCACAGCGGAGTTCCAGAATGTTTGGTCAGCTGGTTTTACTGCTGTACAATGGCTGCTGGAAAAGACAAGTGTTTTGAAATTGTTCTGAAACTGCTTACTGCTTTCTTTACTGCAAAAATGCAAAATCTGACCAAGTAATTTTTGACTAGTTTCTAATGAAAATATCTTAGCACACTTGAAATTAGATTAAACTAACTTGCAAATACCTCTTCACCAAGATATTTGAGTTTAGTTCAATAATTCCGTAACATTGTAGGAAAAGGTTAGTTTTGTCTTATTTTAAGTGTGGCAAAAATATTTACAATAGAAACTAGACCAAAAATACTTGGTAAGATTTTATGTTTTTGGAGTGTTGTTGGTTGTGCAGGAGGCTCCACTTCTGCTTTTTGAAGATATACTGCTGTATAATTGTGCATCTGTTTGGAGCCGTTCTCTTGTTTGAGTGTAAACGTTGAGTTGGAGGCATGGCCAGCAGCAGCTCATTCGAATTATTTCTTTCATAATTTGTTCCAGATTCTCAGAGGCCAAAGAAAAAAGAACGAGCTGTTTTCTATTTCCACTCCCTCTACTTTAATAATTATGAGGTTATTGAAAACAGGTGGTTCTTGCCTTTCAGGTGTGGCAGAGCTCAGAGGACGCCCTTTTGCAGATGGTGGTGGTGATCTTAGTACGGCTTGCAGCTGGAGGTAAAACCCTGCCTGGATGGGACGCCTTAGGAACTGGAGTTCAGCTTCTTCTGGTGAGCTCAACATAAATCAACAAATTAACGTTTCCTCTCGATGTCTCAGTGCGAGATTATGCTGCTGCAATAACAGATTATTTGGAGACGCTTATGTTACAGACCTGATGGTGTTAAATTTGTAACCCAGGTGGGACTGCTGATGGACAGACTGGGTCAGTTCCTGGGCAAGCTGAAGTTCACCCTCACTGTCCTGGTGACGTCCTGGACAGAGAAGAAGCAGCGGCGTCAGTCGGCCGGGACTCTCCTGGCTCTCAACGCCTCGCTGTGGCCTCTGGTGCTGGCTGTGGTGACCCTCTCTGCCCTGCTCTCTGCCCCCCTGCTGCCCCTTTTCACCCTGCCCATCTTCCTGGTGGGATTTCCCAGGCCGCAGCGCAGTTGGCCGGGCCCGGTGGGGACGGCCTGTCCCTGTCCGGACTCCGTCTTCTACCAGCAGATGAGTGGAAGCTTGGCCTCTGCTCTAAGGACGGCCTTTGCAAGCGGTTCACTCGGTTAGTGAGTCGTGCATCCTTTCTCTGTTCTTCCTATAAAATTATTTCATATTCAAAATTTAATGCATAGAATGTAATTTGCATCAGAATACAAATAATAATTACATAGCTGAAAATGTAACAACAAACCCCAATTAAACAATCCGAATTAATTATTTAATGTTTTTTTAATGAAACAATTAATCATGATAAATTGATTATTGAAATAATTGTAAAATAATTTAGTACAGACTCAAAAACCAGGCATTTGCTGAAATAATGAACATATTCAGAGCGGTAATTTGGATAAAACTGTACAAAATACATACATATGTTGCATTTAAGACAAAAACAATAAAGGAATACTATGTTATTGCATTTTAGGTCATAAAATGTTTACTTTATTATTTAAAAAAGGAATTTAACTTGTTTATTTGCGGTCCACTGTTGCACAGAAAACTGTTCAAAAGAGTTCAGAAAATAATTTCTTAGATATTTCAGTGTTCTAACACCCCTCTGGGTTAAGCAGGGATTGTTTGCGACCCTCACATGGTAAAATACCAAAACGAACCTCGGTTGTGAGCAGCCTTTTTCAAGTACTGGCGGTAATGCGGGCTTACATCACCGCGCTGAGTTTCCTGTGAAGTGACCCAAAAAAACCGCTCGGATCTGTATTCATTACATCTGAATGTTTCCGCAACATTAACCGCATAATACTCTGAGGCTGAGCTACACTGCTGCGGCGATACGCTCTGCACTCAATCAGAACGGGCCAAATGAGGAAAAAACACAAACAGGATATTTCTGCCCATTCAAAAGTGATCACAAAATGTCACCTTATTGTTTCGGATGAGCTTTAAATCTGTGGCGGTGATGTATTATTTAGAAAGGCGAGTTGCTAAATGACGGCGGTTTGTACTGCTCCTTTAGCTTTGCTCACACTGGAGGCTATGGAGCAGTGAGCAGGAAGAGGAATCTGCTCAGTCTGTCGCTTTCCATCATGATGTGGCGGCTGGAACTATTCTGAGATGTCATTATGGGACGCAACATTATCCCTGAGCCACGCAGGCACTAGTCATAGTAAAACAAAAGCTCCCTTAACCTCGCTGCTCTGCCGTGGTGAAATAAATGTCTGTGCAAAGTCCTGCACTGTCTAAAAGAGAGACTGATGGACAGCTAAGGGTTAGATCAGGCCTAATGTTCAGATCCAGGGCTACAACTAACGACTATCTCAGTAACTGATCATTCTGATGATTAATCGATTAAAATATTGCCACGTTTTACATATTTTTCATTTAAAATCTTTTTTAATAATATTAGTAATACATTAAAAAGTGCAACTAAACAATTAAATTGTTTGGTTAATCAGGAAAATTTATATTTTATTGCCTAAAATTTAATAAATTGGGTGAAGCTGAAACTGTCAGTTGAGGAGATTTGGGTAAAAAATGATAATATTTCCAGACAAAGGTGTACTTCATTTAAATGTAAAATATATATATATATTTTATGCAGTTTTGGCTTAATTACTGCTCAGAATATGTTGGGTTTTGAGTTAATTAATTTCAATAATCGATTAATTGTGATTAATCATGATTGATGCGATTAATTGTTTCAACCCTGTGTAGATTTCTGTTTGTTGATCCGATTGTTTGCTCTGTAATGTAACCACATAGAGCAGCAGCTGATAAAAAATGAAACGGTTTGTTTTTTAGGCTGAGTGCATGTTGTGTGTTCCTCCCTTCTTGACCTTGGATTACACGCCACACATCCTCATACGTACAATTCAGACAACTCATGATGAACTCTCTGTTTGTAGGTTCTGTCGCTCCGGGCTCGCATTTCCTGGGACGTTTCCAGGACCGTATGGTTTGGATAATGATCCTGGAGAGAGGATACGGCTACTGTACCGTTAATATTAAGGTACTGCAGAGGTTTTTCTGATTCTTGTGGTCACTGCAGGTGTTTAGTGAATGATTCCTTTTCGCTGTGGCCATGTGATTGGTGTGGGCAAGAAGTGGCTCACCTGGGCTTCCTTAGATTGTTAATTTTCTTCCTTAGTTAATTTGCATTATGAGCTCAATTTGACTCTATTTTATTAGAGCTGTTATTTTATCAATCAATTATTTTGACAATTAATCGATTAATCGGGCACATAAAATTTGGCACGTTCTGCACATTTTTCATTTAACCACTTAAATTGTTATATACATTATTAAAAATACATTAATGGGTGTAAATAAATAAATAGATACATTTTTAAACTGGAAAATAAAAAAATGATTGCCAAGAATGCAATAATATGCTTGATTTAAGACTGTGTGAGGCTGATCTGGTGACCATTAAACAATTAATAATTGCATAGCAGAAGGTGCTTAATGGGATTTATGGTTTTGGAACCAGTGTCTAATAAACTTTCTGGTGGGAAAACGCCCTTAAGAATCCACATGTCCAAATATGTCTGTGATAACACACTGACTGTAAAAGCTTTTTCACATTATTGTATTGCATTAAATGCCTTAAATCTGGCTGAGAATTGGTGCTGCACTGCAAAAACTCAGTCTCACCAAGTATTTAATTCTAGTTCTTTTTTTTTGTTAAAATATCTTAGTTCACTTGAAATAAGACAAAAACACGTTTTTAGCAAGATATATGACCTTATTTTAAGTCAATAATTCCTTAACAATTATGAAAAAAGCAGAAGTTCGACTAGCAGATTATTTGATCTATAAAATGGAAAAATGTCAAAAGTTAAATATTCTGCCAGTGGAATTTGCACTTTATCATCAATAATTAACTTAAAACAAGATTACATATCTTTCTGAAAGCAACATTTTGTCTAAGATATTTGCACTTGAAATTACTCAAAATACTTGGTAAGATTTCCTGTTTTTTCATGCATTGAATTGAAATTGAAGGTCAGATGAGTTTGTCTTTGCTGCAGGGTTTGGAGCTGCAGGAGACGTCCTGCCACACGGTGGAGGCCCGCCGCGTGGACGAGGTGTTCGAGGCCGCCTTCGAGCGCCCGGAGCGGCTCGGCTTCACCCAGGGCTTCAACCTGCACTGGGGCAACGCGCTGACGCCCTGCGCCGCCCTGGCGGTCCGGGTCTACTCTGACGCCAGGAACGTCCTCTCCGGCATCATCGACTCCCACGACAACCTGAGGAAACTGCAGGAGGACTTCATGAAGGCGCTGACCTGGCTGCTGCTGCGCCACTGTGTGCAGAGGCAGAAAGGTTTGCTGTGGAGCAGCGAGGTCGGGTCGACCGTCGGAGGCGTGAAGTCCCAGTCCTCCCAGTTGGCCCAGACCACATGTAACCCGCCATCCGAGGCTGTCGTGGTGGAGTCCAACATGTCCTCTCTCAGGTTCAGACAGGACAGCTCCAGCTTGACGTCGTTCGGGGACTGGTCGGACGAGGACGACCTGTTCGGGCCTCAGCCGGCCCGGCGGACCGTGGCGTTGGTGACGGCGGAGGCGCAGCGGGGACACGCGGCGCCGCAGACCGGCGCATCGCTGCCCGGCTCCGTAGAGATGGACAGCCTGTTTGAGAACATGGCGCTGTCCGCGCTGCAGCCGCTGCAGCCTCTGGGGCTCAGCATCGGCATGCCGGCGGTGGACAGAGGCCGGAACTCGGAGGTGCTCAGGGAGAGCCCTCACCTGAACTTCAGCTGCCCGCAGTCGGAGGCGTTCAACCTGCCTCCGGTTTGGAGGACGGCGCCGCTGCTCCCGTCCCGCCTGCTGTCGCTCAGGCCGTTGTTCCCGGAGGAATGGTTTCGCTTCAGCCTGGGGCGCTTCGGGCTGGCGGCGCAGGGGGAACCCCTGGAGGACATGACCAAAGCCCTGAAGGAGGACGAGGTTTTGAAGGAGCTTCACGTGAAGGTGGCGCTGTCCTGCCTCATCTCTGTGGGGGCGGAGTCGGCGTTCACCAGCCCCAGTTACATCTACAGGCTGTACTGCGGAGACGTGCCGTGGACGGAGGGACTGGACTGGCTGTCTTCAAGCAAAGAACTTTACCAGCTCACACTGCAGGCCTTCAGGTAGAAGCTCCTGATTTCAACTGGTTTTAATGGGACCAGAATAGGGCTGGAAGATTTGGCTTCAAAATAAAGTATACCATTTTATCCACCTGCCAGATTCAATATGTGATTTAATTTTTCTTTCTCGATTTTTTTTCTCTTCCGAAAAAAGAAGATTATAACAAATCTGCAGCCTGACGATTTCTCTTCAAAATGAAGAGAAATAAGTTGTTTCAGCAAGAATTAGCAAGTTCTGATAAGACCAGCTAAATCCAAGTGGGTTTTTTTCTTCAAAATATTTTGCTTAATCATTTCAAAGTCCTGCAGCTGATAAAAGTTAGATGGTGACATATTTTCATGTTTCTAAAAGTTTTATACCAAAGTGTAACTTGACAAGATGGTCAACTTTCCTCATTTTGATTTAGTTTTTCGTATTGGAGTTTTCATAAAGTTACTGCTTAATTCACCTAATATTGCAACTATATTCTTGTAATATTATGACTTCAGTCTCATTATAAAAAAATAAAAATTGTACCTGAATTCAAAGTTCAAATAAATAGAAGCCAGAACAAGATGGCCGCCCTGAACTATTAATACCAAATAAGGATTTTCTCAAATATTATATCCTCAAAAAGCAAAGTTTTGATTCTACAGCCTGTGTCAGAGATGTGTGTCTGTTTTTCTCAGGTTCAGCTTCAAGCTGCTCTTTGACCAGGCCAGCCTGGGGCCCATGGAGTCCCCAGAGGAACTGTTCAGCACTTTAGAGGAATATGAACGGGACTGGTACATCGGCCTGGCGACGGAAAGAGGCTGGCACGACAGCGTCCTTCAGGAGAAGCCCTTCCTGTTCTCCCTGGGACACGACCTCACAATGGTAACCTGACCATCTCTGCTACGTCAAGTTAAAAGCAATAATTCATATCGGTAACACAAAATTTAAAAAATCAGGCAAAAGAAAATGTTCCAAATCAGTTTCTTTTGATAAAATAACATATGAAACTAAAACAAAAACTGCAACTTTTGGTTAAAACTTATTTTTCATTCAGTGGGGGAAAAAAATCCAGAAATTTTACTCAAGTAGCAAAAGAAATACTTTATAATAAAATTACTCAAGTAAAAGTAATAGTCCTTTCTTCAAGGTTAGTGAAGTAAATGTATCTAGTAGCCGCCCAGCTCTGGCACACATTGTGATTGTGGGTTTAGTTTTCAGAGCTGCTGTCTGTCTTCCATCCTCAGGGAACCTACACGGGTCGGGTCCTGTCCCTGCAGGAGCAGCTGGTGCAGGTCGGCCGTCTGAACGGAGAAGGGGTCAGAGGTCAGTGGGCAAACCTTTCCTGGGAACTCCTGTACGCCACCAACGACGATGAGGAGCGGTACAGCATCCAGGCTCACCCGTTCATGCTCCGAAACTTGACAGTTCAGGCCGCCGACCCGCCCCTGGGTTACCCCATCTACTCCTCCGCCCCGCTCCACTTCCCCTGCTTCTGACCCGGAGTCCCTCAGGGCGCCTTTGTTTCAAAAGAAAACACCTCAGTTTGTTTGTCAGCTGTTGAGGTTGTGCATTGTTTTCTGTTTGGACACCCATCATCTTTCTAATTAAAGCTGCAGGATGTAACTTTTATAAAAATTATTTTTTTACATTTTTGTTGAAACTGTCACTATGTTGTCATGAGACAGAAAACAGGTGAAAACGTTAATCTCCTCCACTTCCTCCCTGAGCTTCTATTGCAGCTCTGATTGGGTGACTGAAAACAACCAATCAGAGCCAGGAGGCGGGTCATAGCGCTGTCAATCAATCTCATGTATTCAGAAGCATTTTACCATAAAGGAAGACCATTTTTCCAACCTGCTAACTGATGTAGCATTCACGACATGCTACGCTAATGGGAAAAAGTTGTAGCAGAGGTTGATTGACAGCGCTAAGACCCGCCTCCTGGCTCTGATTGGTTGTGTCTAGCATAGGAGCTTGATTTCTTTCTTTTTGTTTTATCTGTTTCATAAAGTCATGACATTGTTACAATTTTAACAAATATGTAAAAAAAATATATGTATTTTTAAGAAGTTTTTAATAATTTTTAACAGGAACTGTAGCACCACTTTATATAATAATGTCATAAAATTGGGATTTAACATGTAATAAAACATCTTTAAAGTTGCTGTACGTAACTTTTATATAAAAAATAGACATATTTGTTGAAGCTGTCTGTCATGAAACAAATCATCTAAAAAGCTCCTCCACCTTTTCCCAGTGGCAACCAATCAGAGCCAGGGGGCGGGTCTTAATGCTGTCAATCACTCTCAACCTTGCTCTCTGCAGCTAGAAGAGAGCTGTGCATGCTAGGCGGTAAACAATTTCTCTGTTAAGATAAATTATTTCTCCACAGTTAACACATGAAGCAGCCAATAGGAAGTGGCCTGACAGTGCTAAGCCCCACCTCCTGGCTCTGATTGGTTGTTTTAGGTTGGAGGCGGAGCATTTCTTCAGCAGCAGCTCGGATATGAGGTGGAGATCAATCTTTTCTTTTCACAGATTATCTCATGATATAGTGACAGTTCCAACAAATGTTAAAGGGACATACCGCAGCTTTAAAACAGCATTATATAATAACGCAAAATGTAATAAATACATATTGGATCGTTTTTACTTGCAGGTTAATACCGCAAGTTCTGGATAAAAAGCAAACTAAATGACCAAAGTTTCAACTTAAATGGTTATTGAATCTACAACATGATCGCTTTATGAAGTACAATCATTAGTATGAACAAAAAATAGATTAATCGTTTATTACGTTACATTATTTCAAAAACAGTTTTTCTAAATAATCAGCACAAAATGTGAATTTTATTAGATTTTGCATTTATTATTCCATAATGCTGCATTACAGAAACATTTGATGCAGAGCACATTTCAGTCTATTTGAACTGAAAAGAAAATCCACTTCCTTTTTAGGAAAACATCTGGTTTTATTGAACTTTTTCCACGTTTTTCTGATTTCATCTCCAAGTCACCAAAAAAAGGGACGATAATTTGAATGTTCTGTTCAGGATGTCAAGGATGTGCCTTGGGAATGTCTTGCTCTCTTTATGTCAGTGCTATTGTTTTTGTTTACAATCAGCTGTTTACAGGCGTTCAAAGGAATGTGTCCACAGATTTCTGTACATACTGATTTTTATATATGTGTAAATGTACATACTTGAAATAAAATGTTGGGGAAAAAAAATGTTTTTTAACGTTATCAGGTTACAAAAATTGATTTTATTGTGCATCGGAAAGGTCACCACAAGTGCAACATCATTCTTACTTATATGGTCTTCAGGCAAGGTTAAACATTTTTATCTAGAAGAGAAATTACATCTGGGATGGAAGGAGCGCAGAGCTTTCAAAAGAGCTATCCTTCACCCTTAAATCTTTCTGGTAGCGTCAGGAATGCGGCGGAGTCCTTCCCCTTCAGGATGCGCCGTCTTTCAGGAGGTTTTTGGTTTAGTGAAGTATGCGGAGTCCGCATCCTGCAACAGAAAGGGCCGCCTGTCAGCTCCAGTTTGGCACAGTGGTAAACAAAATCAGAATGGTTCTCATTCAAGGATGAAAACTGAATGAGAGATTTTTAAATTTCCAGTAATTGTTCCGTGGCCACAAGCTTGACCCTGACATTTCTTTAAATACACAGACTTCAATGTTGAAAAATATTCCTGGATTGGTAGATGTCTTCCATTTTCCTCCCGTTACGCCTCAAACTCTCCTGAGCTGCAGGTGTCCGATGGAGGTGCGTCATTGTCGCTGCTCCTCCACCACAAATCTGTGCAAAACAATCTCAATATTCCGCTAATGTCGAAAAACACAATTATGCAATTCTGTTGTTTACATTAAATAAGACAAGGAATCAAAATCGCTCGTGAAAAAGTTTGTTCACATTATAAGTAATTTAAAAAACGAGCCATATCACTTCCTGTTTTCTTCTTCATGGTTGTCGCCGATTGCAACATCGGTTGTTGGTCATGTGACTCGCGTGATGTGAAAATGTCTTTCCATTGCAGTTTTGAGAAATGCAATGGAAAAATATTTTTGCTTTTGTTTTGTTTTTTCATATTGGCGCACTTCCATTGAGCAAGTTTATTTTTTAAATCTCAAATGAAACATTTATTTTTTTCAAAACATATTTTATGTGTAAATGCATACAAAAAGTTAAGGTTAAAACTTAAAGTACATTTTTGTAAGGTTAAAATCAACAGCCATAAAAATGTTGGTACAATGTAAACACATGGAAAAATTATTTCTTTTTTCAATTTATTTGTTTCTTAAATCCCTCAACATTAAGTTAGTTTAGTCTTATTTCACATATGCTAAGATATTTGCACTAGAAACTAGACTAAAATTAGATTTTGTGTTTTTGCAGTGTTGAAAACAAACGTACCACACCAGCTTTGAAGTTCTGCACCCTTTTCCTGCCCAGCTGGTTGGTCATGGCCCAGGCCACTGTAGGTGTGTACTGCCAGGCGTAGTAAAACATCAGGAAGGGCTGCTGGGCGATCCACATTTCCTTCACACCGTTTGCAATTCCCACCAGCATCAAACGCACGCAGCGACTCGTCGACATCTTGTGCTCCTGGCTGCCGACTACGGCCACAGGCTTGGGAGGAAAACGGTTAGAGAAAGCAGAAACAGCCAAGTAATTAGAGGCATAGAGAGGAAATAAAATGTGTTACCTTGTTTAGTTCTTCGGTGAAGGCGTTGTTGACGATGTCGGACTGAACCGGACCCGGACACACCATGCTGATGAGGATACCCGGGAAGTCTGTCAGCTCAGTTCGAAGAGAATTAAAGAAACCCTGTGGACAATAAGCCACAAAACAGCTTCTAGTTACGCTGGTAATTATAATTTAGATTCATGACAAGCCAATAATCACTTAATTGCATGATAAATTAAAATTAGCTCAATAATTTTCACTTGCATGATGTAGCGTTTTCTCTTTTCTACCAAAAACTGGGTGAGAAAAGTCTTCAGTCTGGTGGTTTTGTCTGAAATAGCCTTTTTTTAAGGACAATTTTGTTTTCAGAGACTTATTTGTTTATTTTAATTGTTATTTCCACTATTTATTTTGAATATTTAAAATGTTGTGGAAAAAAAAGCTGCATTGGCTCAGCTAATTTTGCTAGTTTGGTATTATTATCACTAGTACTGCAGTAAATCTCATCGATATTTATCTTAGTATTACACAGAGGCAGGTAGAGAACTCAGAAGGTGTGACTGAGTAAGAGATGTGAGGTTCGATAGGAACAAGGCGAGAGCTAATTCTCATCTTGTGTCATAGCAACTGCCCACCAAGATGGCTGTCAGCTACAAAGTTCACAGAAGTGTGACGTCACATGAGAATTTGCATTATTACGCTGCTATTACTATTTTTTTACTTGAAAAAGGTCTCTAACCAACAATATTATTGATTATCGCGATAACATCTGGGACAATTTATCGTCCAATAAAGTTTGACGGATTGAAATCCCGTCACCTGCAGCGCGTGCTTGCTGGCAGAGTATCCAGTGGATAGGGGAGCCCCGGCCAGGCCGGCCACGCTGCTGACGGTCACCACGCTCCCTCTGCCTCTCTGGGTCATGTGCGGCAGCACCTGCTTGGTCAGAGACACCGTGCCGATGAAGTTGAGCTCCATCAAGGCCTCGTAAACCTCGATGCTGGTCTCCAGGAACAGGGAGCGCTGGCTCCGGCCCCCGTTGTTGATCAGGACGTCAATCTGAGGAGGAGGTTTGGGAAACGTCGAGACTTTAAAATCTAATTGTCAGAAACACACACAGTGGAGCTGACCCTGTCCTCTCTCAATCAACCAATCAAGTTTGTTTGTATAACAAATAACTCAGTGTTTCGGCTGGTTTGCAGTTTCCTGGATGTTTGTTCCAGATTTGTGGTGCATAGAAGCCGAATGCTGCACTTGTCATTACGTCTCTATTTGGTTAAATAACATTAAAAACTCCACATAAACTGCTTTACATTTAAGTATTCCAGTAGGTACAGGTATTCATACTGAAGGATGTTCCTCAGGTGTCAGTCCTTGGACCACAACTTTTTGCACTATGATGTAGTTTTTCTGTCGTATCAAAATAGATTTATTTTGCAGAACTGTAAATATATCTTGTTATAGATGCTTTTAAAACCTTTCCTTAGATTTATTACATGCTTTTTTGTTTTAAATAATTTTAAATGTCTTACCCCTCTTGTAAAATATTTGTATTCTCAACTAGTTTCTTGGTTGGGAAGGAGATAACTACACTTTTGTCCTTTGGATGCAAAAAATGTGATGATCTTACATATCCAAAGTATTCAATCACAGTTTTTGTTTTTTCCTCATGCGACTTCCTGTCCAACAAATCAAGAGGAAGAACAAGAATGTCTTCGTCTTTGAGGCTGGAGATCTCTTGAAGAAGACATAAAAAACAAACTTGTGTTATTTGAGTTTAAATGTAAATTCTTGGATGTTTAGGAAAGTCATTTGAAAACCAGATGACTCACCCAGACATTTTTGTTTAACTCGGTTCAGTTGGTCTTCACGGCGAGCGGACAGGATGAGTCGAGACCCGCACTTCGCCAGCTGATAGGCCAGTTCTTCTCCAATCCCACTGGAGGCTCCGGTCACCCAGACCACCAGTCCTCTCAGCCTGGATTCTGGGAAAAACAACAAAACATTTGCCTGGAAAATATAACATTTTAATTCAGAAAGAATCAAATTTAAACTATTTGCTATATCTCAGTCTATTATTTATGTAAGAAATTCAAAAGAGAAAGGTGGATCTGTAGTCATGTTCACATTTTTCAATATTTAAGTTTTATTTTAGAATTTATAACGGAAAATCAACAGCTCTAGTAAATAAATTAATATACTCAGTGGAGTTCCTCAGGATTCAGTGTTTGGGCCCATTTTTTTTCATCTTTAGGAAACAAGATTTAATTTCGTGTTTTAACTTTGTCTCTTAGAAATAATTTTTTAAAGGTTTTTGGAAATAGTGAGCATTACAATTAAAAACATAAACAATAACAAAAAGTAACAGTTTACGCATCTTATCAATGTTTATACAGAACCTGACAACAGTTAAATATTAAATATAAAAACATTTTGCAGAATCTGGTTGATTACAACAATAGCTTAGACTCTTAATTGGTTTTAACCATGGTTAATTTCCTATTTTTTGAGTCGCCATGACTTTATTTTGAAGGGACCACTTCCTGTTTAACCGTCAGCAGAACAGGGACAGAAGAGAAGTTGTAACGGACGTGACAACTGTGCATTTGTTACTCTGAAAAATACCGATTTTATTGGCTATCCTGGTTTTGCGAAACAGTTTTTATCTTCAACATTTGTTGCGTCGGCCCAAAACAGGCGCAAGCCTCCCACAGCTCCCAGCGTTCCCAGCGTCTCACCTGGTTTGTGTCCTACTAAGCTAGCTAGCCGGAGAGTGAAGTCTGCGTCGCCGAAAACAAAACACACGACGTGGAGGAGCAAACACAGAATAAAACTCCACAGGAGGGAGGAAAAGCACCAATCCATTTGTCAGAAAAGCAGGTTTAATGCGGAGAATTAAAAAAAACGGGAGAGTGGAAGATAGTCTGTGGTGACGTCACTTCCTGTACTGTAATATTTTCAAAATTAAGATCGGTCTATTTAGCTAGTCATTAAACTTTCACATCTTGGCACGAATATTCGTGTTTTAATGGGATTTTATATATAAACACAAAGTGCTTTATAAATCTGAAAAGTGTGACATACATTTTTATGAAGCCCCTATGAATCAACTACAAATGAACGAGCTAACTAGCTATTTTTATAATTGCTAATTTGTACCACTGTAAACCGTTTCTTGTAATTTTCTGTAAATTATGTGTTACGTATGTCCTTCAATGTGCATCTCAATTGTTTTTCTTTAGTTTTCTATAATCAACAGATAAAAATTAGTCCTTGTAGGTAAATCTGGCACACATGGTTGCTTTAATATACCATGTTAGTTAGCATGCACTATTCCTTGTTAAATAAATAAAAGATTGGGGGTTAGACTTCTTCCTTCGCACATCTAGAGACAGAAATATTCTCCTGGATAGGTGGAGAGCATCTGTGAACATCCATTTCCAGGTCTTACCAAATATTCTCTGTTGGATTTAGGTCAGGACTTTGACTAGGCCATGGTTTTGCATGTTCTGCCACACACCTGACCTTAATGAAGGGATGATTAACATTT